GGTCGATTTCCAGGTGTATACAGACGTAATTGTACTGTAGAAGAAGGCCGCTAATGCAATAGCAGAACACTGCTGTCCTGGATAATGAAATGAATCATGACAGCCTTGATGAAAAGTTTCTCTACAAATCAAATTCGGTGAATTGTTGTTCGAAACTGAATAAAAGCAGCTCTCGTTCTCAGAGTGTTCGTCTGCGTTCACAGACAAGTCTTTAAGCATTTTACGAAACTTGCTGCCGTCACACTTCTTGATGTTGCATGTTCGCTTGGTGTTTTGCCTCCTATTTGTCAAATTAAGCAGAGGGGTCTTGTTATCTTCTTTTAGCAGACTGTTTGAGTCTGCAGATATCGAGTTCGTGAGAACGAACATAATTCGAGCACGATGTTGGTGTTTTGGTAGCCGGTTTACGTTTGATAGGCGAGGTTTTCAAGGGTGATGCTCGCTTACGTTTCCTGCTAGACACCTCAAACAGACATCGTCGAAGTTTGGGAACGTGCGCCTTTGTAGTATGAGTTGCCGGTGGCGAAAACGTCTCATGTTTGGGAGTCACGGATGAACAGTGCGATTTGCCTTTACTTTCTCTGACGTTGGACGTTTGGGAGATCTTTGCGTCTGAGAGGTACTTGAAGAGGGCAACAAAGCCGCGGATAACTTGGAACGGTTCTTTTTACCTTTACGGGCCTTAAAAAGGTTTCTGCGAGTTTTCTGGGGCACTCGCACCTTTTTTGCCTTCCGCGCACGCGGAGTTTCGCTTTCCAGCCATTTATACTCTGCCATCTTCTGCTTGATAATATTCTCCCAAGTAGTATCGTCGTATTCAAACTTTGGTTGATCAGATTTTGACACGACAGCATTTTTTTTCATTGTACTCATAAGAAAGGAAGTCTTTACACATAAACCTAGAAAAGACCTCGTCCATGATCTCTATCCAACACTTGTGTGCTACACTCCATCCTTTAGTACTAACGCTGGGCCAGCCGCATCTTCTGAAGTAAAATTTCTTTCCTAAACAACAAAACAAATAGGGATGGTTAAAATAAAAGTTGCACTCATATGGTTCTAGTTAAAACTGTAAAGCATTCAGGCATTTCTTCTGTTTCAAAATTTATTTGTAATCCGGCTATTTAAACAAATGAGTAGCCAGTGTCCGAGTTTATAAAACGGACTATTTACCTTCTCCTGCTCTCCTGTTGTTGACCCTTTTAATTCGCATACACTACACTAGCGATATGGAATCATCATCCAAAAGCAGCAAAAACACTGAGATATTCAGTGATATGGAATCATCATCCAAAAATGAAATTGACATATACAGAATGTTCATGGCGCTTCTTAACTGAACTGCCTTACCTTTTCTTGCACATTCTTTGGCTTTTCTAAAACAAAGTCTTAAAAACAGGAGCTTTTCAGCATACTGATGGGTTAAAATCTGGTCCACTGAAAAAATAAAAATAATGGAAAACTCAGCCGACCTTCTTCAATAAACAGTCGACTATTGCGCGGACATCCTTTGAGGATTGTTTTAGGTTCCAAGGGCGTAGCCAGCTCGCAGGACTAATACGCACTGACCTCACCAAAACTTTGAGCTCCTAAGCTTTTTAGCTCACCCCAACAAAGTATAGTTTATTACAAGAGGTAGACTGATCAAACAAAAAATTTGTAGGCCCGGGCCTAAAGGTTTATGGGCTGGCTACACCAAGTGATCCTCCATCAAAAACTAGAATTAAGATAATCGGAGGGATCCGCAAATTAAAAGTGCTTAATTATGCTTCGACACAAATACTGGCAACTAAATGAAAAGGATTTCAATGAGTTAAGGTCTATCAAAACTTAAATTCATGTTACAGTAACGTACGAGAGGTCGCTTCGCCGCTTCCGTCATGATTTGTTGCCCTGCTGAATATCTCTTTTTGCAGCTTAAGAGCAGCCTCAAGACCTTGGTTGTTGTAATGGCGTAACGATCTAAAATTCCGGAGAAGCATGGATGCATGTTCAACAGTTAAATGGCCGTAGTCAGCGGTGCCGAGGCCCAAACAAGACAGCTCTCTTAGGCAAAAACCCCATTCTTTGCACTGTAAATACAAACACGAAAAGAAGAATACATACATACATGCATAACCTTTACTTTAACAAGAATTTTAGAGTAGCTACACTATAATAGCTAATATCTTCGAGAAACAAAGTAACATCTCTAAAAACTGAAAAAAATACACACAAAATAAGACAAAAATTAGAGAAAACTAATCAAACGCATTAAGACTTTGCACACGTCGGTTAAAATCTTTAAAAGTACAGGTCCTTAATTCGTCGGGAAGAGCCTTCCATTGCTGGGCGGAAAAATAAGAAAAAGAGTGTAGTCGATTGGTGGTCGTTCTAGGCTTGGTTAGAGTCAACATATAGGTACCGCGCAAATTATAGGTTGTATGGCGAACAGTAAACATATTCCTCCTGGATGGTCATTAAAAAATAGACTCTTGTAAACTAGTATTAAGAAATTCTGAACGCGCTTGTTGTACAAAGAAGTCATTTCAAACTGGAGCAAAGTGGTGTAGTGTGAAGTATAATCATTTAAAATAAATCTAAGAACGATTTAGCAATAAAATAGTTTTTTGCTTTTGATGAAGTTGAAAGAGAGCTCAACGAAAACACAAGCAAACCTCCAAGTCGAAGATGTCGATTTCTTCTTCCAAGTTTTCGTCAAAAACACTTTGCCGCATGATCTTGGCAATCTTGCGCCACTTGCAAAAACCCTTTAATGGAAAAAGGTTTCAGAATTCGTTCAATAATTTAACTAGAACTTCGGTGGTAATATAGACATCATTAGACAGTACAGAGAGTATTTTAAATAAAAATTCAAAACGACATAAAACGGTAATCAGTAAATAACAGCACAGCCCTTTATTCCACAATAAAGATCACCTATAGTAAACACCAGTGGTTATAAAAGAGACATGTGCAAAAGCAGAGCATGAACCCGGAGTACCTCCCATCCCCCACACTCGCTCTTCCTCGTAAGCAATCTCGCCTCTTCGCTTTTACATTTAACATTAAAAAAACAGAAAGAGTGTGAACTGTAACTGAGCTTAAGCATGATTTAATAATGATCGTTAGTAACGTTGCGATCACAGTGCGTTTTCTGAATGGCCGAGAAAGCTCCAGTAAACCCTGAGAAAACTGACCAAGAAGGTCTTGAGTCCCGAGTCAACACAACGCAGAACACAGATGAAATTAAACGACTACAAGAAACAGCTGAGCGCTATCATAGACACGCACTACATTTCTTCGGTAAGTGGAAGGAAGCAGAAACGGGAACATTGCGAGTGATCGAGGAGAGGGATCTAACAATGATGGAGAAGGAAATTGGTCGGGGGTGTTTTGGAACTTGCTACCTAGCAAAGTTCGGCGCACGCACAGTTGTGGTGAAACAACAGCAAAACTGCCAGGCAAGTAGACAAGAAGCGAGAATGACCGCAAGACTAAGCCATCCAAACACCGCCTGCTTCACTGGCATAGTGGAGAGACAAAACAGAGTTGACATAGCGACCAATTTTTACAACATCAATGGCGAGCGTTTTAATCTTGGTGATATTCCTAGTGAAAATGCTACCGTTAACTGGAGTCACCTTTCGGGCGGTCTTTGTAGAGGAATACGACACATTCACGACAAAATAAAGATCCTGCACAAAGACATTAAGTCAAACAACGTAGTTCTAGATGGACCCAGCTTAGCAGAGGCAGAAGCTGTACTGGTGGACTTTGGGAAAGCAACTGACCAAAGCAATCCTAGAATATGCCAAACGCCAGCAGGCACCAAGAAATTTCAACACCTGTTACCCGAGCTAGGACAGCCGAACGGTAGACAGAGCAAGAAAACGAACATTTATTCAGTAGGATTCCTGATAAAGGGGATGAAATACAAATTTATGACTCGCTTCCCGACGACTTATGTCAGTCTTTATCGGTCATGTCTTCGCTCCAATCCTTTACAAAGACCAACAGCCAATGAACTGCGCGAGGCGTTTGATTTCGCGAACAGTTGACTGTTGAACTTAATTCACTGCTGAGGTTGTAAAGTAATCTATTCCGCTTATGCCAGGAAAAAATGCAAAAACAAATGTTGTCACTTTGCTGAAAATATAGCTGTCCGTATTAAGCAATTAAGATCTTTTGTCCTCTGGTTAAATATTGTTTTAAAGAGTTGTTGTTCTTTTACAAATGGTGTGTTGATAAAAATCAAAATACCGTCAAAAAGTTTTACTTATATCGTTAATTATCTTAAGCAATCTTACTTGTAGTCGCAAGTACACCAAAAGTCAATACCCTCGTCACGAAAAGGCTTATCAAGGAGAAAATATATTTTTTCATCGAAGAAAAAATCAAATAAAAAATGTGTGAGTCACCAACGCCTGTTTCAAACGTCAAATTTCACATAATCGTAAACAAATGCAAATAAGCGAGAACAAAAGATTTCCATTAGTATTCAATTCGGAACAAGGGAAATTTAACGTTTAAAGCCGACTGAACTCTAGATATGCGATCAATTGGCCATTCATTATTGTTGTAACTAGGGGTAAACAAAGCACGTGCGTGAACAGACTTAACAATCGGTTGCCACTTAGTGTCTTGTCATGGCGTTCACGATCAATTGCAGTAAGTGCAACAAGCAATTTAGGACGGGTTATTCTGCGAAGAAGCATTACGATCATAGCCACTATCAGCACCCCTATCAAGGTGGGATTTTCAGGGACTCGCGAGGACAAGAGCTTGTGAACCAGCCCAAAGCTATACAACTGGATAAAGAAGAAATGCCTCACTATAAAATGTGGTTGGCATTAGTAGCCGAGCAAATTGTTGGGTCCTTAACTCCAAGTGGTAAAGGTAAGGAATTTTTCAGATTTTATAACGTCTATTAATCCCTGCATAAGGCAATGGTGTTCTCTAGTAAAATTGAAACTTCTGGTATAATAGCGAAATAAAAGTACATTCCATTCTTTTAATTTTTTTCAGCTGGATGGCAACAGATACATGAAGTCCACGTGAAAAAGAGTCACTTCAAGCATCTACTTTTTAGCTTAGGCAGCCCACCACTGTACCAGGTGCGAGCTGTAAAGCACCACAAGCAACCTTTACATCACGATATTACCCGTACGTTTTCGTACAGAATATATGACACGGAAGTGGTTTTAAATGCACTGACAGAACAAGAGATTGTAAGGATCCAGACTTCGGCAGCATTTAGGTATGGTGCACAAGTCAATTTTCAACGTTTCACAAGTACAGAGGAAGCAGTCGAGGCAGCCAAACAAAGAGCATTTTCGCGCTTTACGACTCGTGTTCAAAGTGAGCAACAAACACCAACAAGCCGTTCGGAAATTGTTGTAAATGCTGGAGAAGGTAGATCAACAAGAGAATTGGAGTTAGTATGGTGGCCTGATGTGTTTCGAAATTGCAGAGACTACGGAAAATTAACAGTGCGTCTGTTTGTTTCAACGACAACGTTTAAACGCTAATTTCGATAAAAAACCGCAAGTTTCGCCTCCCTCTGAGTTCATCCCGTTCGGGTTCAACATCTGATTTCGAAATAAAGAGGAGTTAATAACGATTAGGGTTAAGTTTACATTCGTTACTACTGTACACTGTATGAAGGTTGAGTCATGATAAACTCTAAGGCTTATCAGTCATTTCGCCCATCAGTAATTTCGCCCGATAACTAAGCCCCCTTATTTTTGAGTCGTTAAGAGCGCACCAAATATAGTTTTCCTCATTCTATAAGCCACAAACCTTCAAAGCGCGCTTCAAATATAAAACATCTCGTTCTAATATAGGAGGCGAATTAACTGGGGCGAAATGAACGTAAGCCCACTCAGAATGGCAAAACCGACATCATCATTAAGCAAAAGAAGCAGGCCGTTTAGATACAAGTCGTTTCGATACAAACTTTTGCAGCCAAACTGTATATAACTTTCGAGACAAAAAAATGTTGTCAGCGTGTTTACAAGACTAAACAGGCATGAATTCGTTCTAAAGGTTAAAGAGCAATGGATTAATATCGGGCGGATTGTCTAAAGTTCAGGCAAATTCACATCGGGAGAATGCCCTTTGAGGCGAAATGACCTGTTACTGCAGCGAACCTAGTATGAAGTGTATGAAGTGACAAACTCGAAGGAAACAAAAGTGAGAAGTACGGAAACCGGTGAAAAGCTCTCGGTTACCAGGGCGGAGCCACTGGCCTTCCCTCAACTTAATCGACTCACATCGAAACGACTTTGCTATTAATGAATTGTATCGACATGAAACAAACAGAAGGTACCAACTGAGAACAGTATTAAGTAAGGAAAGTAACTAACATTTCGGTAGGCATCTAGTTGATACTCAGCAACATAATTTTGAACTTCGTCTGGATACTTCTTGTCTTTCTGAAGGATGGTTAGCTTTGAAAGAACTTCTTGCTGCTTTCCAGTCCAGAATGCCAGCTTAGCATTTATTTCCTGTTTTAGGAGAACTAATAATAACGTCGCGTTAAAATTGTATTATAATAAGCATTTTTAAAAAGTCAGAGAGTAAACTTTCACTAATTACCATAAAAACACGTTGTCTGCTATGCGAGACTGCTTAAATTTAAAAAACATCCCATTCTCGTTTTTCAAAGGGTTAATAATATTTCATGCTTTTCTCATGTAATACACAAAAATATATTTGCAGTAATTACAGCCTTTTAACTGTGTAACAGGCACATTATAAAACTGAAAACTGGTCTTGATGACGCACAGAACATGTAAGGGTTTAAACGCAACTTGTTAAGTAAACAATCGCCACTGTAATTATGTTGGTCCACTTTTACCTGTATCTTTGATGTCAATTGTGTCTGAGTGGGTTCCCCAATCTCTCAAAAATGTTTCTGAATTTTTCAGATTAGTGTAATGCTAAAGAAAATAAAATTAATTAAAAAACAGCAACAAATATGATAACAAAAAATAACCATAACAAAATAATAATGATAATAATAATAATAATAATAAAAGAACAAGAACCACAACAATAACAACAATCAGAACAAAAGTACAATACTAGGCTGCATCAACCACTGAAATACTTTTCCTCAGATACTCTGGAATAATGAACATAATATATACTATATTGAACCGTGGAGTTAACAAATCAATTAAGAGAAGAACATTTGAGATACTCTGTGAGAAAATTTTCCCAGATGGTTAGAAACCTAAATTAGGAAAAACATTAACACGTACACAAAGGATAGACAATTCTGGCCAAGATTTACCTGATCAACTGCAAAAATTTCTTCATGTTATGTATCCCAGAAGCGCTCAGGCATTACTATGAGTGCCAGGACTTCAACCCGGGTGAACCAGAAAGGATAGACAACATTTCCCTACATCGAACGCGATTGAACAACTATTAATGTTATATATCCCAGAAGCGCTCAGGCATTACTATGAGTGCCAGGACTTCAACCTGGGTGAACCAGAAAGGATAGACAACATTTCCCTACAGCAAGCATGAATCAATAACTAATGTGTACCAGAATTGTCAGACATGTTGAACATATTGACAAAAAAGTGATTAAACAGAACTGTAAATTCAAAAAAAATAGTTTTACATTTAAATGTAAGTTCAAGGAAAAAATTTCTTTAAAAATCGAGCAATGATGATTGTGACATGCTGCTGCAGGTGGAAACATTTTATTATTTTAAATGTTTTTTTTTCTTGGTAAGTTATGTCTGAGTATACTTAAGTTCTCTGTTGCAGTAAATCTTTTCAACAACTTGAGTGCACCTGAACCATTTCTTCACAAAATGTAACCTGATTTAACAGGTTTGTCTGCGCAACATCTTTGTTCTGGAAAAAGGACTAAAGATTTTCCTTGGGTAGTGATCGCGTAACAATCTCGTCAATGTTCTCCAGGAACCGGCGTTCAGTTGACCCTGGGAAATTTAAGAATATTATGTTAAATTTATTGTTCAATTCTATTTTATCTGCTTTTTTTGGTTGCACATTGTCAACATAGGTAATTACTTGATTAGTAAACAAAGTTTTTGATTGATGGTATGGTACAAAATGAAACAGAGAATGTCTATATTGAAAAAAAAATACACTAAATCCTGGACTGAATAACTTTAATTCATTACTTATTGGTCATCTGTTAACTCCTTAAAACAGATAGAGATCTGTGTACCTGAAAATGATATTACTTGAACGTTGTGCCTCTCAATAGCACTTTCCTGCCCTGGTTTGGTCTTCACCACAATCCTGTCTCTCCCCTTCATACTGTCAGGACCTTACTCAGAGAGAGCATAATTGCAGTCCTTGAGGCTTCCACACTCATAGGCAAACATCCCAAGTGAAATTAACAATTGCTCGGTGTTTCTGAGCTCGCAATGCAGAGCACACAAATTCACATCACATAGCTCCTCTTCAAGGAGAAAGAGCAAGTCATCTCTTAAACCCTTCCTTCTGTCATGAAAGAAGAAGAAAAACTCTAAGAACTAACAATGTAGCTTCCGTTTTTACGGCCCAAACCCACTTACTGCAAGATACAGGAAAGTAGAATTTCAAAGTGATTCAAAATATGTTTCTTTCTAAAAAGTAAATTACCATACTATAAGTTGCACATTTTTGTGTAACTTGATACAGGAAAACACAGGAACCTACCCCCCAATATTGGCTTTGCTTTTTAGGAAACACTCAGCACAGGCTTCGCCACGAGGAACGCCAGGACAGGCACATCCCTACAAACAAACGGTATGTAGAACTTGATTAAGAAATAAATTTGAGTGAGAAATAAATTTGAGTGAATGCGAGGCTGAGGTTTTTCTTATTTTATGGTTTAAAAATAGTAGTTTTAGCACAAGAAAAATGAGATTATATAATAAAGCATAAGAGGTTATATCAAAGCAGGTCAACTCTAGCGTACATAATAACCACATGTTTACCACATCATAAAAATAGTAATAACCAAAGGATAGGGAGTGGAGGCGACAACGACCGAAGGTTCCAACGCTTTTGCTCCAACACCGTGCTTTGTGTAAGTTTCATGTGACAAATGGTCAAAACACGCGTGATCAGGTTAAGAGGGTAAAAAGTCACGTGCGTGATCACATTGCGTTTGGTATATTCCATTCCTTCTAAGTGGAAGTCCAAAGGACTGCTGGCTACATACAACCTGGAGATTAGGATTGCTGGCTCCTCTTGTCGCCCGCCATTATTTATACAACTCAGCATTTCCGAAAACACAGACAAGCTTAAATTTAATCACAAACAGAGTGCATCAGAAAAAAACCTGAATATGGTTTCTGTTACTTTAGAACTCGCTATGATCATGCATTTAACAAATTAAGATAAAATATAGATTTAGCCAGGGCTAAGAGCGAAGCTCCCGTTAGTAAATTTACAATTTAAATCAAACAATAAACTTGTATTCCAAAATTCAGATAACTTTACAGCACATTCATGTGACTTTTGAAGGAAAGGCTAAGTGATTTTAGAGAAAAATATTTTGCAAAGAACCGCCAAGAGTGAACCAAATCTTACATCAAGTTTACAGCCTCATATGTACACCCAAAAACTAGCAACCATCTTCGATCACATTTAAGAGCCACAATGGGCAGGCTCTTGATCACCGTAGATTAATTAGGCCTGGAAAAAAATCAGGCCGAATTTTTTGCGTTCGACAAGTTTACTTTACAAAATCTTGCCAACAAATCTAGGTGAGTGAAATCCAACCTTTTTTACCATTTGTACGTCACCTCTGAGGTGAAACAGTGCTATGAGGCACTGTTTTTATCATACAGACCTCTGACAGAATGCAGTATTTCACAATTTTGCAATACAAATTAGGATCATAACTAAATATTCTTTGAAACGCTTTCTTTCTATTTGCGGTGAGAAAATGTCTAAAGACTTTTTAAAGTTCTGTAAGCTTATATCAAACCCGATGCTCGGTCAGATCATTGTGTCAAATCTTACAAACGTACATAAAGTAAATAGCCGCATAAAGTACGCTCAACTTCATTAAATTAGGTATAAAAAACAAACATCAAATACAATCATTAATCAGGCTTACCATTCGAGATGCAACTCCTGAAAGGTATCAAGTAAGGCCAGTATCGCTTCATAGTTTTCAAGCAAGATGAAAAACGAAAACGATGCCATCCGAAATCGGATTTCCGACTTTGACAAGGGACGCATCTCTCAAGCAAAAAAACAATAAGCAAACTAGCCATGAATAACAGAATACTCTTGATAGCAGCTGTATTTCATGTTTGTACATCCAGTAGAAAAATACAGTTAAAAAAATCACAAGTTGACACAAAACTCTGTCAGCTTCAGCCGTCAAAGTAAACAAGATTCAAGATGCTGCATAAATTTTCCGCATGAACTCACCTGTCAAATTTTGACCAATCAGAGCATAAACATTCGACGTAGAGCGTGACCAACGCGTGACCTTGGCAAGAAAAGGTCTTTCTCGCCTGTATTTAAGGCTAGTTTGAAATCAAAATCTTAATAGTGTGGGGCCATAGTGACATAAACACAACATATTTCATATGACTTTTTAAAAATAAACTTGAGCCTGCGATCATTTGAAAACTAGTAACTTGTCAGCGGATAACTTCAAAAAAGTACTCGACCTCGATGGGTCGACACCTGAGCCCGCGATACCGTCAGGTGGCCAGCCAGCGGATACCTTGATTTGACCGATGTCAATTGATCCATGGATATTATCCATGATTGATCACAACATTGATGAGCAATCAGTTTTCTCCTGGACTCCCAAAGTGGTTAGAAAGTGTAAAACTAAGCATTGGTTTTCCTGTGTTGCGGACGGATGGTTAAAAGCAACTGTCTTCCCTGCATAGCTGGCTGAATTTTCGCATCCGAAGTCAGTTTGAAATCAAAATTTTAATTGTGCGGCACATAAACACAACATATTTCATATGAATTTAAAAAAAATTATACTTGGGCCTGCGATCGCTTGAAAACTAGTCACTTGTCAGCGGATAACTTTTATAAATACTGACCTTGATGGGTCAACACCTGAGCCCGCGATACGGTCAAGTGATACTAGTCAGCGGATACCCTGTTTCAACAGCTGTCAATTGATCACAACGTTGATGTCCAAAATGTGTGCATTATCAGTTTTCCTTTGCTCCCAAACTAGCTAGAAAGTATGAGATTGAACATTGGTGTCCCGTGGTGCGGACGGTGTACGGTCACGTGATTACCAAATTTTCCGGGATGGGTAGATTACCTTAGCTATGGGGCTCCGCCCACGCGCGCGCGTGGAGCTCCGCTAAAACCTACCCTTATAACTTTGCAGAATACACAGCATTCTGTGTCTAACCCTCTCTTACAAAGGCCATCACAATTCTTGTTGGCATTGGCGCCTTTTCGTTTGATAAACATAATCAGTGCTTTATAGTCAAGGGTAACTCTCAAAAAAGACAAGAATATAAATAAGTAATATCACGCTGAAGTTAAAAAATAGATATACAACAAATCTCTTTGATCATAGATTTTGTACTTAACACCATACTTTGTAAAGTACAGAGTCAACTCAATACTTGGCTAGACATAAACCATCAAAAAAAGTACTAAAAGTGTTAAGGGTAATTAATTACCTGTAAATTTAACTTTAAAGTGCCTTCCATCAACCCATATGCCATGTTTCTTTATTGCCTCTTTCTGACGGTTGATGTCTTTGATAAGGGCCTCAACATTTTCCCTATACAAAAGAAAAAGGAAATGTAAAACTGGTGGAAATTTTCCACAACTTTAACTCCCCTGTCTTCTGAGCATAGGATGACTTACTCAGAAATTGATCTCAACAATAGCATGGGCCTATGTACAAATTTTTCGAAGGGCAATTTTTTCCTCGGAAACAAGCTTATGATTGCCCATCCCTAGGCACTTTTTATGAAATGTAAAAGCACTTTTAAACATCATTGATTGGTGCTTTATGTTTTGCATGGAATAAACTTTTCTATTCTTGATCAATTCCTGCTATGTAAAAAAATGGTTGGAGTTTTTTTGCAGGGCATCATCATGTATTGTGCATACCCATGAGTTACCTGTCAGTATTAATAAAGGAAACAGATCTATGAATTTTCCAATTTTTATCAAAACTTGAATAAAAATACTTTTATGTGAAGAAATTTAGGGAATAATCAAGACAGGTGGAAATTTTAAATTTACGTGAAAGCATTTTGCAAAGATAAAAGACCTTCTAATAAACATCGCTTGAAACATACTGTAATTTTGCCTGGTCCTCCAACCACTGTTCCAACCTAAACTGTGTTTACCTTTTGCAATATGTATTCTTATCACCATAATCTTTTGCCTAGTAGCTTTCATGACTTGTTCTTAAGTAGTAATCAAGTCCATCAATACGAAACTCGACTAGACTCTCAGTATATACCTCATTTTTGTAGAACAAATATAAAGCAATTTAGTATTCTTTAGTGAGGACCTAAAATCTGGAATTTGTTGCCTTTTTCACTAATTAGCTCGCCTTCTATATTTGTTTTCAAAAAAATTTAAAGAATTATCTCACTGATAGCCAATCTGTCACTTAATTTTCTGATCTTGCTCACTCTGCCCTCAGCCATGAATTTAGTTCATTAGGTAGTTGAAGAAAGCCTACTAATATAAGCTTCAAACTTCGTTAGGCTTCCTTGTCACTTTAATTGTATAATTTAATTAACAACTTTTGTTCACGTTTATAAGGTTTTGTGAGTGACTAAATAAGACTGGAGATGGTTCTAACCTGTTTTCTTGGCAATTAGCAACAGCTACTGGGTAGACACTTTTACAGCTTTCACTTGAAGCATGTTCAACATCGATAGGCACAATGCCAAACAATACCTGGTGCCGACCTATGAAGGCAAGGAAGCACATGAATACTCTGTAACTTAACAATAATTGGTATTCATTTGGTGACTATTGTTTAGAACTTGTAATCACTAACTGACATTGCAGTAATAACGGTTGATGTCTTAATTGAAATGCACAAGTAACATTTGATGATGATAGAGCTGATCGATGCACATGTCACTTAACAGATGGGAAATAACATATCTTGGAGAACCTCGACATAAGTAACTGTGGCTTTAATTTGGTAACCAAGTGCCAAGCAAAAAAATTGTGCTGTGTTTCTGGGAATTTTAAAGCATAAACAAATATTATTGTCAAACATACCACAAAATGGTCTTCCGTCTAGCTTGAGGTTGACATCCAGATCTTCCTTGTCAGGGTCATGCAGTCGCGCCTCTCTACCAGCCCAAGCCACTGTTGATGACAGGTTCACCAGGTAGCCATGTGGTGCTCCATCTGGTAAGGGACTGATGCCCAAAGCTTTTTTGACCACACCAAATATCATCTGGCGCAATGCCTTTATTTGGTTCTTATTCAACAGGATTGGAATGTCAGTTTTAGCCTACAGAGACAAATGGAGGGAAAGATGCTTCTTGAATAGGATGCCACATTCAACTAACCATATTACTTCGATCGAGTAATATGGCATCACAACTCTTTATGATAGGGACAGGGAAGGTCAAAAAGAGTCATTGAGAATGATAGTAATAATAATAATAATAATAATAATAATTGAAACGTATTTATACAGGATTGCTGCATCAGTTTTAAGAAAAAACTGCTATCAATGCAGGTCCTGTAATCACATTATGCATTTTCTGTTACTCAATTTAATAATGTGATTCAAAAATGGACTCTTCTGCTACAAAAACAGGTAGACTATGAATTCAAAGATATGTTTGACAGTTGATTTCACTGCAAGGCCACCGACTTAGGCATGCAACGCGGGCTTGTTGGTCAAAAGAAAAAGGGGTTCACATTCTTTTCACATAACTGACTGTGTTGTTTGCACATCAAAGTATTAAACAGGGTGCAAAACAGCTGCAACCAAAAGAATTTTCAGAATTGTCAGAAATGTGAGCATGTGAATTCATCTTTTTAGTTTAATAACAAACAAGCCCGACAAAAGCAATTAATTTTATTTATTTACTGTTATGTATATCTTTTCATTTACTGTTTACTTCTGTAGCTAGTATTATCTGTGGTGAAACATTGAAAAAAAATACACTTTGAACCTCAGCAAGTGAGGAAAGAAGAAAAACAAAAACAGCATATTGTATTAAGACTAATCAAACGCATACATTTACTTACATGTAAGCTTAAACGGGCTTAAGCACAAACTAATGAGTTCTTATCAGAAATTCAAATATTCACAAAAAAACCTAAGACAGAAAAACAGTTTTTCAAATCTATAACAAAATTTTAACGTTTTGACTTACGCCGGTTCGTCCTAGCTTGGAAATGTTAAGCAACGTTTGCCAGGCTTGGTCTGGGATCCTCGACTGAAGTTTGAAATACAGCAAAGTCCAGTCTGGCACTCGAAGCGATTGCAAAAACTTTACACTGCTGTCACCCAATATAGTTTCCAGCGCTTGCAATGGACTGCTGCTGTTGCTTCTTATTTTTTCAGCGATGTCGCTGAGCACTCGTGCGACCTGGGGACGGCACTTTTCATTGGCAATAACATCAGCGAGATAGATCTGGAATTTATCGCACACATCGCTGATCGAGGTCCACACATCTTGATCGGCGATCTTCTCCTCTTTCGCATCTCCCTCGGTTTTGTTCGTCTCTGGCCTTTGCTCGCTTTCAATTAATTGCTTCAATTTCTTTACATCTTCAGACAGAGATTCTAGCTGCCTCTGGGCTCGATCGAGATGGGCTTTAAGTCCTTCGTTTTCCCTTTCGATTGCGGATGCAACATCACTAGCAGCTTTAAGCTGATCCCGAAAGTCGGCCCCGCTTGACTCAAGTCGAATATCGCTTGTTTCCGTTTCCAATTTTCCAATTTTAAGCGAATTTATCGCATCGACCAGCCATCGATACTGCTCTGCTTTTCCTTCTTTAAATTTCTGCCGGAGGATAGCAGAAACAACTCCAAATAGAGTGGCGATGGCTACTTTGCTGTGTTGAATGTGCCGGCGATCGAAACTCCCGCCATTTTTCAACTCCGAGAGCTGCACCGTGGTAAATTCACCAGGAAAATTCCGAACTAATGGGCTGCTTGACAAAAACGTGTTCGGTTTAACTCCACATATCTTGGCATCCAAAACATACCATTGCCTCGATTCATCAGTATCTGAAGGAGAGTGCAGCAATTCAACCCTCCGAAGTTCGGAGGGATCCATTGCTGCTGCACGTCGACCGCGGGAAAACTAAACTTTCCCGCTTTTCACTGCGCATACTAATATGAAATCCAATCTCTAAAATGTCAACAGCCGATCCGGCTCCTAAAAAAACCAGACTTCATCATACGCAGCAGGAATAGATATTGTACAAGAAAAAGGCAGCTTCTCAAAAGCAATTAACAACAAGCTGTCAAAGCGATGATGGAAACTTAGCCGGATTATGACGTCAACCATAGCAACGAGCCTCTTCGAAGTTTTGATTTTCCGCTTACCTGAGGCTCGTGATGGAAAATGAACTCGATACGGTCGAACTTTTCTGTTTATAACCCTAACCCTATCCTCTTAGGACTAGGGTTTATTACCATATTAACCCTAACCCTAACCATAACCATTGGACAATGTGATAGGTAGTACAAGGGTTAGTATCTCTGCCTGTCACGTAGAAGATCTGGGTTCAATTCCCAGTCGAGACGCTATTTTATTTTTGCGAAACCCAGGAGACAAAGAATCACACATTGCAACTTCAGACTTTTTATTGATTAAAACAAAATCATGGCTGGACCCTCGTTTTTTACATCTTTTAGATCTTCTTTATACAAATCCACTAAATGTTGAAAAAACCGTTCTTGGGCTCGGGTTAACGGTAACCCTTGCTGTTTTCGTTTACGGCAATAGGAGGTCAAACTGCAGAATTTTTCGGGCAAGTTACCAAAGGGCCATGGTCCATTCACAAAGGCGTCTACTATTGGCGGGCGTGTTTACTTGTCAAAGGCAGGTTTGCGTTGCTGATGACATGCTTCTAAAAACTTTTCATCCGCGGAAGATATGGTTTTGCCTTGTGTTTTTTACTTTTGTAAATAGAAAGCTTAACTCACATCACTAGCAGGTAACTTTCCCCATGCTTCGTTCTTCTCAAACTTTTCTGACCCCAGCGGAGGTTTCCACTCGTCATGTTTCGTACGATTCACACACGCCTGAAAACTCTCGGTTGGCTATGGCTTACACCTCTTTCCACCCATCTGTTTTCTTGTATATTTTGGCAATCTCCGGACTCCAATGAAAGGTACTTGGTAGCACGGGGACTTTTTTCTTGGCTTCCCATCGTTCGTTTTGCTTATGGGTGCTTTCAGCAAACTGATTGAGCCAGGCTTGTTCAGTTTGTTGCTTTTTCCACTGCTCTACATTTTGCTCTGCTTGTTGCAACCATGTCCGACTCCCTTGGTTGTAGGATTTGAGAGGTCTTGGTTTGTAAGGTTTCTTGTCAGTTTGTTTTTTTCGAAGCCAGTCTGGCGTTGGATCACCTGGCATGGGATACAACGGAGTGTGGATCCACTGAAAAAACTTGCAGCGAGATTCTATAGCCGAACCACCACAGGTAAAAAAGACTTTGTTGAGATTTTTGGCGGTTTTACTCAACCGAATCTTGGGAATCATTTGACAGTGACATTTCAATTGACCCCATTTGCTACGGACTTCAGGATGAATCTCTTCTTTAAGGACATTGCACACTTTCTCCTTATCTTCCTCTTTTTTATAAAACGATGGGCAAGGTTTGTCTTGGTCTCCAAATACTAGGAGAAACTCAGTGGTTAAAGGTTGCTTTACGTTCAAGTTCATGGTGATGACTGATAATCGATCAGCGCTTGCCATTTATTTGACATCTTTTGTTGAACAATGACGTCAATTCCTCCCTAGGGAGCGGGCAAGTCTGGGCCATGACGTCAATGACCTTCCCAAGGGATGGGGCAAGTCTGGGCCATGACTTCAACGACCTTCCCAAGGGATGAGGCAAGACAAGACAAACAACATGACATCACGTAGGCAAAAAACAACTTTAATAACTTAGAACAACGTTCTTTGTTTTTTTTTTTCAATGTTTAAGGAAATTGAAATCCTCCTTCGGTTTTCTGCCTTTTCTGAATGCTCATTTTTCCACTGACCATGTGATTCAGTCGTTTCTTCAGGGCTGATCGGGTAGCTGTTTTAGGCTTATACGCTGGCTTGGGGGCTTCATGAATCCATTGAAAGAAGTTACAGCGAGCCTCTAATTTCTTGGGACAGCCTAAGAAGACTTTGTTCTTGTTTCTGGGTGTTTGACTCCGTTTCAGGTTTGGTACCAAACCACGGTGACAGGAAAACGTTCCCCATTTATTCAGCACTTTAGAATGAATCTCGTTACACAGAGCTCCTAGGACTTTCTGTTTGTTCTCAAAACTTCCAAAGTACAAAGGGAAGGTATAGCATAGGCTAAGTCGTTGATCCGGTTGGACAAAGTTGGTATAGAGAGGTTTAGTCTCTTCCATGAGATACTCATTCAACTGCATTTTCTATGGGTTCTGTTCTACAGTAACACTTGCTCTAAGTCTGGCTGACTTTCCATGGAGCTCGGTCCATTGAACAGTTCGTCTACCATCATTTCTTCATAGGAAGGGAGAACATCAGCGGATCGTGCTTGAGTAGGTTCTGACAGGTGATGATATGGAAATGAAAAATCTTTTGCTTTCTGTACCATCGTTTCAATCTCCTCTGGGGTGTAAAAAAAAGCCACGGGCTTGTTCCAAAGCTAGTATTTCTTCTCGGGAATACGGTTGGTCTTTTTGTTCCATGTTACTTTCCAGCACTTTGTCCAACCTTACTTTCCGAGCGACAGTCTCGCCCAGTTTGAACTGCTCACCGTTTTCTTTTGCTGGAGCTTCATCTAGGTTTTGAAGCACCTCGATTCCTGCCTTTTTCTGCTTTTTCGCTTCACGGGATTTTTTGTTCTTCTCGTTGGCTTTCTTGACTTGTTCTTCAAACTTTTTTTCATTCAGTTGAAATTCTTGACATCCTTCTTGTCCAAGTATATGGATTTTGACAGGTCTTCGGGTTAATTTCTTTTCCAGTTTCTGCATCTTGTTGAAAGCTTTTTGAAACTTTTGACCTGTGGAAGATCCATCTTGAGTGAGTCCCATGATATTGTCTAAAGCTTGACTACGTTCAGCAGACTGAGGTACTGTGATTTCCACGGTTGGTTCTTGCATCTTCAATCTCTGGTCAGCTTTTGGTTATTGACACTTGCACATTATAAATAAGAAGAGATAAAGCGCTCAAGTTTATAGTTGTGTGTCTCATTTGCATTGTCGTAAATCCAATGACGTCTGTCCTTGGGGAATTGGGCATGTTCAAACAATGACGTCAATCCATTGTGTCATGGATTGATGTGAAAACAGGTGTCTTTTTTACATATCACTTCATAATTGAAAGAATCAAGACACGTTTTATCACATCATCATGGATACAGTAGGAATCGCTGCGTTCTGTCATGGTTTTAAATTAGCTTACCATTGGTTTGACTATCGTGAAATTAATTTATGCACTATAGATGGACCAAATCATTGCTTGTTAGAGTATTCGTGTGTTTTAGGAACTAATTTTTACTCCGAAGAAATCAAAAAGAGCATAGAGGAACAAACAAGTTCTGTGCATGGATTAGCTTATCCAGCTGAAGAAAAGTTTCTTCGTGAACCTAATTTAATCAAAGACGATGTTCTGCATTGGTATCGCACATTCAGCTCAAAACAACGTTCAACTGTTGGTCTCTATGAAGTCAATCCTCTCACAAAACTGTTTCGAGCCTTGAACATTCCCACAGTCAATTTACAAGACTTTGGTTTGAACGATTTGATGTCTCTCCCTATTGGTACGATCAAGGTTATGTCGCCAGGTGATTATAGTGCCAACTGGTGCAGACAACAGGAACATGGTAAACTTGGTGTTTGGCATGATTGTTGCGCCCGAGTCATGGTTTGTAAAATGAGTTGGTGGTTAAGCAAGGAGCTTAAAGTTCAACCAACGGGGGCAGAAGTAAACGCTCAACGCGTTCTTTGGCAAAAACGTTGTGATGCATTGTTGGAATGGATTTTATACGAGTATTGCATCAATGAAAAAGATGAAGCATTCCAGGAAGGTTTAGGTTTAGATTGGATCCCTGACAATTGCGATGGAAAGTGTAAAATTGTGCAATATATTTTTGAACGAGATGTGACGGATAAGATATGGCGAGACTATGTATCCTATAAGAAATTTTCAGAATGTATGTGAAAATGGCCTGAATCTATAAAAGAGTGATTTTGTATTAAAGCATGTTCATTTACCATGTTATTGTAACCTTATGGTTAAAAAAGAAACAGGATACCCGGGCTGCTAAATACATTAAATTGGATGATGACTTAGTGGAGCATGACCCATCATTGCTTTAAAATTTAGCTGTCTTCTCGATATCTCTCATAACTTGAAGGTCCTGAGCGAAGGAACGTGGATGAAAATTGCGGGTGAATTAATTCTTTTTAGTGCTGAGCTACTAGCGAAAGTTCAGACCCTAAAGGAACAACTGAAAACACTTCAAGAAAAAGTCAAAGAGCTGGAACAACAAAAACCACAGAAAGGGTATGACACCGTCTACTAAAGTCGACACCATTCTACAAAACATTGAACCGTCAAAGTTTACCACGTATCACAATTTCATGCGATCACTGATATTAGACATAATTTAACCTTTGATCGATTGAATCATCAGCTGTATATTCTGAACAAAGAGATTTATGAAGATTTATGTCAAACCGCCATTGAATATTTTGAAAAGCATGTACCACAAAAATACAAGTCCATTGGGAATTGAACATGGTCAGGCAATGACGTCATAGTCCTCTATAAAGATAGAGTCATACCATGTTATAGCATTCGAAGTTGGATCAAGACGGAGATACAATCATGTTGGGTGTACCATCGTTTACGATTGTCACTGGTGGCGCACTTGGTGTCGATTTGGAAGCTGAAAAGTTAGCAAGAGACCATGGTTTAGCTGTACAAGTTATCATTCCACCTTGTCATCCACGAAGCAAAACAGTCCCTCCACTAACAGTGACTCAACTCGCTGAAGCGATTCCCATCCAAAAGCAAGTGGCTGCTCGTCTCAACAAACGATTGGAAAACCCGATCAGTTTACAGTATATTCACCGAAACTATCATGTGGTGAAACAAGTAGACATGCTGAGGGCATTTGCAAACTTTCAACCGGAAAGTAACGTATGCTTTGGAGGAACTGGCTGGGTCATGGAAATGGCGAAACTGCTAGAGAAGATCCTATATGTTTATGATGTAGACAAAAATATTTTGTTCTGGTACAGACATGATCAAGATTTATTCTATGTCTGTGATCAAATGTCTAAAGACCAATTTGCTTTGCCGACCTTCCTACCAAGGTCTGCCATCGTAGGCATAAGAAACATTTATGACTTTCCCGATGGTTTATTGGAACTGAACGATCTTTTCAAACGTAGTTTAAATTTGTCTTGTTAAAAATAAAATTCACGTTGAAAACTTTACACTTTGGGTCTGTTTACTTGTCCAAGCTTTGGTAGTACAATGGCGAGTATCTCTGCCTATCATGCAGACGATCCAGGTTCGATTATACAGATTCTAAGGTTGCTTGTTCAAAGCCCGCGAACCCCGAACAACGTTTTAAAACTTTTTTGTCATGGCGCATGCGCACTACGCACCTTCAAGGACATTTTATCTGTCCCACAACTTTTCATTTTCAAACTCAACCACAAATATAATCTCCCTTTGCATCTTATTATCTATAACAATGATTCCGTCGATGTTTTGCCGATCACGTCACGATGTGTCTCCGATCAAGTCACGAAGTGTCCCGACAAAGTATTCCGAAGTCACGATGTATTCCGAACACCCACGCGCAGGTAAGTCTAAGTTATACAGATTCTAAGGTTGCTTGTTCAAAACCCGCGAACCCCGAACAACGTTTTAAAACGTTTTTCTGTCATGGTGCATGCGCACTGCGCACCTTCAAGGACATTTTAGCTGTGTCCGATCACGTCACGATGTATCTCCGATCAAGTCTCGAAGTGTCCGGACAAAGTATTCCGACGTCACGACGTATTCCGAACAACTCACGAAATGTCCGACCTCATTAGAATAAGAATAGGTTGTGAAGGTGCGACGGATAGTAGCAATAGTGCCAATTATTTTGAAATTGTGTTCAGTATATGGGACCTGGGACCCATTTGGAAAAACGACTGGCCCGAGGTGATCCAGGCATCAACCGGTTAGACAGGACTACCAAAGCCCACGACATTGACTATGGCAAGGCCAAGGACTTGAAGGACAAATTGGCTGCCGATCGCAAGATGATTGCCAAGATTGACAAACTACCCGGCCGCAAAACCCTGACGAAACGTATTGTTAAAAAGTATCATGAAAGCTAAACTAAAGTTAGGCATGTAAGATTGTATTAAAAAGTCCCCCGTGTTCCAAACAAACAAAAGACACGTTGTTATGTACAAACACATGTTTAATGGTTTTTCTTCCCAAATACTGGTCCATTTGCTCTAACGCGTTGGCACGCAAAGTTTGCACAGTGTTCTCCTCATGGTCTGGCTCGGACCACTCGAGCGGCAACCACGGCAGGGGAAAGGGACGGTCCAATTACTTCGCCAACCAGTTCCACCTTTTGTGTCGCTCTGACTCCGCACGCTTCGCATAGACAGCCTTGTGATACTCTTTCCGTAACTTGATTCCCATGACACGTTTCTTTTCGGCCAATTGTTCCAGCCGTCTCGCATTCAGCCGTTGTCGATACTCCTCATAGGTCCCCTCTCGTATCATGCGTTCCCTCCATGCCTTTTGCAACATCAGGTTTTTTCGCTTGACTTCCTCCCGTTGTTCCGCCGGCATGGTGTGGTAGCATCGCTTTCCCTCCGTGCACTTGTGCTTTTTGAATGCCTCGTATTCTCCCGTGGCCTTGAGACGAGCTATCCGTTAATAGTACTGCTGTCGGTTACGGGCCTCACTTCCTCCATGCCGTCCAGGGCCTCTTTCTTTTTTTTCGATATTGCCGTTGATGTTCCACATTCTTTTTTCGGTCTCGTTTCTTCGCTGGCGGGTCCATGGTTCAGCTCGTTCAAACGTTCCCAGCACACCTCGGCCAACGCTGTCAATTTCCGGAATGACCGCTCGCCGGTCCCGCTGGTGTTGCACAATTTTCTCCCGGTTTTTGTGATAATAGATGGGATTGATGAGTCGCACTTGGGCCAGATGAGTGGCCCGGTATTGGTGGCACGCTTGATTGTTTAGTTCACGTCGTCTGGCGATCTGCTCTGGGGTGGGTGGCAGTGGTTTGGGTCGCGGTGGTTGTTGTTTCTTTCTCTCTGATCGACGCTGCTGTTTCCGTTTCAAGATGGCCTCTCTGTTTCGCATATACCAATGGTATTTTTGTTGTCTGGCCAATTCCGGATCTTAACTGGGCATACTGACCAAACTGGTTCTTGTCTAGGGAGTTTGTCTATATCTATCATCTTGTCCGCCAATCACAGTCCTCGGTCCAGGGATGGCGATGGTGGAGGCAATCTGCTACCCATGGGGGGTCCACCCCTGATCCTCCTGCCCATCAAACCCCTCCCCTAACCCTCACCTGAGTCCCTTCCACCAATCTCCTGACGATCATGTGATATCATGTGTTTTTTGGTCTGGGAAAATTTAAATTGTCCCCTCTGTCATGGCGGACGATATATTCTATCACTTTAGTGATGAAGAAGACGGAATGGACGCCCTTTTGGACCGAGCGTTTGACCGGTGGGAGCAATTGGGAGGCAGCTCCACCCGTGGTCCCCTCTTTCAATTCAATATACAACCTACTGGCAGACGACGCCGCTGACGCTATGTTGTGGAGCGGGCGCAATTCAATGCGCAGTTGCGTCAGTTGAGGGATCCTGTGGCTGGGGATAATATTGGAATGGCTTTAATCGAAGCTTTGCATAATGCTATCGAGACTGAACTCGAGCGAGAGTAGAGACCCGCCCATCATTTTGTCAATTTTTCCATCACTGCTCACGGGTTCTCCCACGCCTATCAAACGGCCAATTTTACTCTAGGGGAGATTTAACAACGCACGGCTCGATTTGATGAGATGTTGGCCACGTTGGAACGCAAGTTGAATAGCAATTAATCTTTTAACCCCGATCGCGGTTTCCACGTGGATGTGGTATTTCTGTCCATGCCAGGCCCCGGTTCAGGTTATCGTAAAAAACATAATTCTGGACGTCGATGCCTGGATCGAGAAAACAAGGAAAAAGGATGCATCATCTCCATCCAAAACAACGATCGACTGTGTTGCGCTCGCGCCATTGTCACCATGCGAGCGTACTGCCACAAAGATCAAGGTGTTGATGGGTTTCGTCAATGGGACAATTTAAAGCGTGCTACCCGGTGCAACAACGACAAGCCGAGAAACTGTATCGTGACGCAGGGGTGGCCGAGGGTCCCTGTCGCTTGCAAGAGCTTCGCCAATTTCAACAAGCGTTGGGTTCTCAATACCAACTATTGGTGATGACCCGGATGAAACCGTTCTTTTTGATTTTCAAAGGACCCGCTGCACCCCATCAGATTCGTTTACTGAAATCCAATCATCATTTTGATGGTTGCACCTCGTTTCCTGCCTTCGTGAACCGTTCGTATTACTTTCTGGACTGTGAAAGGGGGTTCAACACCAATGATGACACTAATCACAGTTGTCAAGGGAATCGTTGTTCCGCGTGTGGCCGATTTGACTGTCGGGATTATGTACGTGGTACCCGGCCCACGGATTATTGTACATTGTGTCACTGCAAGTGCCTATTGTAAACGCCTTCATGTTGCGACCAACCAATGTCAAGTGGTGAAAACCTGCCTCAAGTGCCAAGCCAAGTACACGGTCATTCCAAACCAACGCCGCAAGTGTGGGTACGCCAAATGTCCCGTGTGTCACGAATGGGTTTCCATCAATGACCATCGATGTTACATTCAACCCGTTGTAGAGGAAGAGGTGGAGGGGGCAACCCGAAACCGGAGATCCAGAGGGGGAAGGTCGCATGATGGCGCCACCCCCTCCATTCTTCGTCTATGCGGATTTCGAAGCCATGCAGAATGCCGAAGGTGTTTCACTGGCCAATTTCTTGTGCTATTCGTCGGCGGAAGAAGAAGCCATTCATGTATTGGACGGTGAGGATTGTGCCCTGCAATTTCTACACGATTTGGATGATCTAGTGAATGTGCCGGACAGTGATCAAGAACGGGAGATTATTGTAGTGTTTCACAACTTGAAGGGGTTCGATGGCATGTATATTTTTCACGAACTCTACCAGCAACAACGGGAGGTGGTGGACCTTCTGACGGTGGGGGCCAAAGTGTTGTCTTTCAAGAGTGGACCCCTCAAATTCATTGACTCGCCTTGTCTTTTACCCATGCCGCTGGCATCTTTTCCAAGCACATTCAACTTAACGAAATTGAAGAAGGCCTTCTTTCCTCATCTGTTCAACACCCCCGATAACCAACAGTACGTGGGTCGGATCCCCGATGTGGAATTTTACGATCCCGACGGGATGTTGGCCAAAAAGAAACAGGAACTGCTCAATTGGCATGCTGACCAAGTCCGTCGTAATGTGTCCTTCAATTTCCGTCAAGAAATGATCGACTACTGCAAATCGGATCTGACCCTGTTGAAAGCTGGTTGCGAAGCCTTTCAGCCGGAATTCCAAACCCAGGCTGGCTTCAACCCCATGGCCAAGTGTATGACAATCGCCAGCGCCTGCAATTTGTATTGGCGAAAACATCACCTACCACCCGATACGATCACCGTCGAACCGGTCCGTGGCTGGCGGGGGGCCAATGTCAACTAATCCGTCAAGGCCCTGCAAAGGCTCTACTACCTGGAACAGCAAATTCCCAAGCAGGGGGGCAGTGCGGACAGGATCCCACACGTCCGCAATGGTGGTGAACAATCCGTCCGGACTGTTGTCACGTCTTATTTCATCAATGGGTACGATGCCCTCACACGCACAGTTTACGACTTCCACGGGTGTATTTACCATGGATGTCCCACCTGTTTTCCCCTGAGAGATGCCAAACATTATGCCACTCCTGCTCGAACCGTAGAGGACTGTATCAAGCCACTCTGAAAAAACGCGTGGCCCTGCTCAGAGCCGGTTACACTGTCATAGAAATGTGGGAATGCCAGTAGGATCGTCTGGTAGACAACGAGCCTGTCGCTTCCCAGTTTCTTCGCTCGTTCGATCTCGTACCACCTCTGGAACCCCGCGAGGCCCGACGAACAGGTGCGGTGGCTCTGCATTCCGTGGCCGGGAGGGCGAGGAAATACGCTACGTGGATGTCACCTCCCTTTACCTGTGGGTGAACAAGAACTCCCCTTTCCCCAATGTCATCTGCAGATCGTCACTCAATCCGTCGACCAATCCCTAGGGTCGTATTTTGGCTTCGCCACTGTGGACATTCTTCCACCCGCTGGTTTGCTTCACCCTGTCTTCCCTGTGCGCAGCGGTAACAAACTCACCTTTCCTCTGTGTCGTACCTGCAATCAGGGACAAAAGTAGTTGACACTCTTGTTTAAAACGGGTGCTTTTAACAAACATTTAATTCATTTATTACTTCATTCTTTTTAAACGCTGTAAATCCCCTCACCCCCCGAATCAATGTTGTCTCAAGTAAAAAAAAGACTTGAGGGTCCAAAATCCAACATTGATTTTGGGGGGAAGGGGTTGGGGTAGACAGGGGAAGGGGATAAGTATATCCACTATGCAAAAAGGGGCCATTTTATGGAAATGTGTCAACACTTTTGTCCCTCATTGTGTGACCAGGAAGAGCAGGCGAAACCCATGCTGCATCGCAATCATTACTGCCATCACTCGGACGTTGATAGGATGCTACGTGGTACTTGGTGCACCCCTGAACTGGTCAAAGCGGTAGAAAAGGGTTACACCCTCGTTAAGATCTATAAGGTCTGGCATTTTCCCGAACATCAACGTAGGACGGGTCTCGGCGCCGATTACGTCAACACGTGGTTGAACGTAAAACAAGAATAGGCCTGGTGGCCTAGTTGGTGTCAAACCATGGAACAAAAACGAGAGTACATCTTTCGCTACCAGGAGCGGGAGGGGATCCGACTGGACATCAGCCATAATACCAGAAATCCCGGAAGCAAGGCCACGGCCAAGTTAATGCTCAACAGGCACCTCTTCCAATTTTTTTCTTTTTCATCCCACCCCGTCTCATGGTTTCTTTTTTGCAGTTTCTGGGGTAAATTTGGTGAACAGATCAAAAGCCCACTACTGTCACGGTCAAAGATCCCTCCCATTTGTTCAGTTTACTATCCGATGCCGCCCTCGACATCAGCACTCTCCAACTGTGCACCGACGGACATCTTGGAGGCCTTCTACACCATTGTACATAACAATGCGGTCAAAGGCTCCAAGACCAATATCTTCGTGGCCAGGTGGTGTGCGCACTACGATCGCTAAGCATCATGGGCGGTATTCAAAATCTGATCCTTGGTGTCAAGATGGTGTGGAGTGAACATCTCGACTGCGGAGTGAATATTCGTCAATTACGCTGTAGATGTATACGATTTTACTTTGAATCTCTTTTGGAAGCTCGTGAAAAAAAAAGTCTGTCCAATTCTCAGGGAGAAACAGTCTCATTCCGTTGATAGGTGTATTCTGGTGTATTTTGTTCGTAACCACTTGCATCCTGTTTGCAACTGACCGAGAAAAGTCGGCACAGAAACGCTTTGTTCAATGCTTCAATCATGAAAAGCACTGGACGTAAGACCCGTGGTTCGCCGAAAATTTTGAATTCACCGTGAAATCAGTGCAACTAGTGCTAAGAGGTACTGATATGCATAGCTGTGATATACTCATAAAATACTAGGAGCTTCTTCAAAATACCCGGCCACGGTATTTAAACACAGTGAGCTTATTTTGTTTTGTCATTCAGCGTTGCAAGATGTTCACTTGCTAGCTGTAATAAAAGAATCGAAGTTGAGGGGGTCATCTTTTCTTTGATCACGTGATGTGGTTAAGATGGACGGCCGCGTGTTTAACTGCTCCGCGTAACATTTCGTAAATTTCTGATGTTTAAGTGTTCCTTCTGCTTTTTTCTATTTGTTTTGTTATCTTGTTTCGTGTGTCACATTATGCCTGAGTCTATTGCCAACCTAAAGAGAGAAAATAACGATCTCAAATCTAAAGTTTCAACGTTAACGGAGGAGATTTCAAGACTAAAAGATTTATTTCAACAACAAAGCAGCAGTGCCGCCCCTTCTGCTAAAGAAAAATCTCACAGCCTTGAATTCCTAAGCAAGGAATATGATGACTTTCTCTTCAAAACCACTGCCAACAAAGAGCTGCAACGACTAAGTTCACAACTCTCACAGGTCAAGGCCAGGGTGGACGCCATTGCAAACGCCATCGATGAATTCCAAGAATATAGCTTTCAATACAATGTTAAAATTGTCGGTGTTCCCGAGGTGTGTTCTGACGAAGCGGCTTCAACAACAAGTAAGCTTTGTGTAAAATTGTTTAAAGAAATGGGAGAGAATATATCAATCCAAGATATTGACACTGCCCATCGTGTCCCGCAAAGAAACAACGCCGGAAATCCAAAGCCTATAGTCTGCAGATTCGTGAGACGGCTGGTTAAGGAATCTCTAATGTCTCATCGGAAAGAAATTAGCAATGTAACCCCAGCTGCGGTTGGTCTACCAGAAGGGTCTTCATTGTCTTCGGCCAGAATTTACGATCATCTTTCACCAAGAATGCAAGCAGTCCTATTCCAGGCTAAAAAAGTTAAAGAAGAGCTCCACTATCAATATTGCTGGTCAAAGGGTCCCGTTATTTGTTTACGAAAAGACTCCACATCGCGGATAATCAAGCTCAAGAGCATGGCGGACCTCGACGAACTTAAACGTAAATTGGCCATTGAAGGTTAGATTTTACTAAAAATGTCTATTGTACACGATAAAAAATGACTTCTCACAAAACAAAGAAACAGTGCGCGATCGAAAATAAGACCTTACTCGCGCAATTACCATATTATAACTGTAAGTCCTGACTTCTGCCCACCTACAGTTTAATAGTTTAATTGATGATAATCGACCTTCTAGAAAATTGCTAGATTCTCTCAGTAGTCTCTACGACCTTAGTGTATTCCAGCTAAACTCTCTTGATAAACATATTGATCCTGATATAAATCTCACCTCAAACAAAATACGCTCAAAATATTATTCCCCACACAGTTTTGCGCAGTTTGTTGACAGCAAACAGTTGCAATCAAAAATCTCCTTTTTACATACAAATATACGTAGCTTAAAGAAAAATTTTGAAGAATTTCAACATCATGTTTTAAGTGAAATGAATTTCCGTTTTACTATTATTGGTGTAACAGAAACTCGTATATGCGATCGTGAATGTAGTTTTAATTTTGTACCAGAATTACCAGGATACTGTTTTGAATCGGTCCCGACACCTTTATCTGCCGGTGGTGTTGGCCTGTTCATTGATCAAAATTGTAAATACCGCGTCCTTGAACGAGTCTCCAATTCTTGCTATCAAGCCCTATGGATTGAACTTCATCTGCCTAACAATAAGAAATCTGTATGTGGTGTTACTTATAGGCAACACAATAACGCTAATGAGTTTCTAGAATACTTGACAGATTTTCTTGAACGCCAATGCCGTCAAAATCAAAATATTTATCTCATGGGAGACTTCAACATAGATCTGTTAAAATATGAAACTTGTAGTTACACACAAACCTTGCTCCAAACAATGTAAAGTTTTTCAATGTTCCCAGTGGTTGATAAGCCGACTAGAGTCTACGGTAATTCAGCAACTTTAATTGACAATATTTTCATAAATAATCCTGAGAATAATATAGTCAGCGGCAATATCGTGTCCGATACAACAGATCACTTCTCTCAGATGTGCATATTAACGTCGCACTGTAAACCATTCTTTCCAAACAACAAAACTAAGGTTCGTGACTATTCTACCTTCAATGCAAAGTCTTTGATTGACGACTTGCAGAATATTAATTGCAATAATATTTGCAAACATATCGATGCCAATCAATCGTTCTCCAGGTTTTACAAATGCGTCAACAAGACAATTAACAAACACGCTCCTTTAAGAAGTATATCCAATCGTAAACAAAAATTCCTTGCTAAACCATGGCTGACGGCGGGTTTAAGAAAATCAATCAGGGTAAAGAATAACCTCTTCTATACCTCAGACCGTGACAAATACAAATTTTACAGAAATAAAACCATTTATCTTACGAGATTAAGTAAAGCGAACTACTACCAAAGTTTCTTTGATCTCAACATATGTAATATGCGTCAAACTTGGAAAGGAATTACCGTATTTATTCGATTAACCGCCCTGGGCGCTTATTAAATTTTTGGACCTTGAGAGTGGGCGCTTATTCGAGGTGGGCGCTTATTCGAGGCTGGGCGCTTATTAAATTTTCAGTATTTTCAGCAAGTGTAGTATGTTTATTTTGCAACAAAACAATAAATGGTAATGACAAAACTCGAAGATGTAACAAGGCAAGATTCCTGTAAAATGCTTTGAAGAAAACTCTGTCTTCGGGGAAGTCTCTTATTAGTACTTACCGTATTCAATTTTGGGGGGGTGGGGTGGGGTTGGTCGCTTATTTAAGTTTGAGTGGGAGTGGGAGTGGGAGGGAGGTGCGGTGGGGTGGGCGCTTATTCGAGGCTGGGCGCTTATTAACTTTTTCTGCCTTTAGGATGGGCGCTTATTCGAGGTGGGCGTTAATTCGAGGTTGGGCGCTTATTCGAATAAATACGGTATTTAGATCCGCCACTTAATCGCACTTTCTTCTTTGATCCTATTATTCCGGAAGATATCAGTTTAGAAATTTCAGTTTTGCAAGACAACAAGGCCCATGGTCTCTACTCATCTCCAGTTAGGCTGCTGAAATTAGCAAAAAGGGTCATATCCGTACCTCTAGCCACGATTTTTAATCAGTCTATTTGCTCAGGGATTTTTCCATCTAAACTAAAGTGTGCTAAGATTATCCCGATATTTAAGGACGAAGATGACACGCTGCCCGAAAACTACCGACCTATTTCTCTGCTCTCGATTTATAACAGGATTTTTGAAAAACTTATGTACTCCAGAGTTACCAAGTTTGTCAAAGATTGCAACATTCTCTATGATCAGCAATACGGTTTTCGCAGTAAGCACAGTACTCAGCATGCTGTACTTGATATTGTTAACACAATTCTCCAAAACATGGACAACAGTAAATTTTCGTGCGGTGTTTTCATCGATCTCAAAAAGGCTTTTGATACTGTTAACCATGAAATTTTGTTAGCTAAACTTGAAAATTATGGTATTAGAGGTGTAATAAACTCCTGGTTCAGATCATACCTGACTGATCGGAAGCAAACTATGGAAGTTAATAATGTTGTGTCTGAGGCTGAAACGACCTTGTGCGGCGTGCCACAAGGCTCAGTCCTCGGACCACTCCTATTCCTACTGTACATCAATGATATTTACAAGTCCTCTTCGTTATTTGCCTTTTATCTATTTGCTGACGATACTAGTATAATACTTGCAAATAACAACCTAAAGGAACTCGAAACACTTGTTAATCGTGAGCTTGGCAACGTCAACGAATGGCTAAAGGCCAACAAACTGTCCTTGAACATAAAAAAATCAAATTTTGTAATCTTTCGTCCCCGGCAAAAGAATATGCCCTTCATACCTAGGATTAGAATTTTTGACTCCGTGACTAACACCTACGCAAACCTTGAAATGAAAGATTATGTAAAATATCTTGGCTTAATGATTGATTCAAATCTTTCATGGAAATACCACATCGAATCTATCTGTCACAAAATCAGCAAGTCGATAGGAATTATAGCTAAAATTCGACATTATGTCCCGCGTCGTGTTTTACTTTCAGTTTACAACTCATTAATTGTCCCTTACTTGACTTATGGTATTTGTGGTTGGGGAAATTGTGCCTTGACATTTCAAAGAAAGATCGTAACTCTACAAAAACGGGCCTTACGTCTCATTTACTTCAGTAAGTCTAAGGAACACGCCGTACCCTTCTTTCTCAAATCAAATTGCCTTCCCCTGCCTAGCATATTTTTCAGAGATTGTAGCTATTTATTGTATGATATCAACAGACAGACAGCACCACTTAGTATTCTCAATCAGTTCGTTAAAACAAGTCAGATTCATAACTACAGAACAAGATGTGTCTCTAGCGACTCGTTTTATGTTAAGTTCTCTAGAACCGATAAAATGTATGCCTTTTTCACGAGAATCGGTGCCCAAATTTGGAACTCTATTCCGTATTCGATTAAAATACTTAAACGTTCGTCCTTTCGTAAAAAAATAAAGGAATTATTACTAAATTTTTTGCGGTCAGAAGATGATTATGTCGAAGTCTTCCGTCTTATTAAGTTATTTCATACTTTAGGTTAACCTCTCTTCGTAATCGTTATGTACATGCCTTGTTTTATGTTAGTTTAAATTCTATTTACTGTATTGTAGTGTCTTCACTGTTATTTAGTCCATCTATATATAAATCTTGTTTTGTAATATGTCTTCAGCTCCCCCCGCCTCGATTAGTTCATAAGCTATTTGCGGGTGGGAAAGTAATGTAATTAGTTATTTTTCAATTTTCAATAAAATTTGTTGTTGTTGTTGTTGTTGTTGTTGTCAAGGACTTGTTTCTCTGTTGGCACCAAGTCTGCATTTCGTTTTGCTTAACATCTGTATTATCATTACATGAAGACAAGTAAATAAAATAGAGAGTATATGTGTACAATGAACTTGTGTCCTCTTTATAGATAATATAATATTGAGCATCTTGATTTGCCCATATATTTTCTATTGGTATGAGTCATAGAATGTCTTATAACTGGATTGAAACTGAAAATGGCATATTTGTGATTAAAAAGCCTGATGCAGTCAATAGATTTTAAAAGCTTCAGCCACTATTTGTTTAATGATTGTGTCAGTATGTACAAACACGTTATCACATATTTTTTTGGATTATAAAAACTCTTCAAAATGTGAAGTTCATACATGTTTACAAATCTCCTGTAATCAGAGCTGGGGCAACATAGCTTGAGACCCCTTTCCTTTCTCCTCACCCCAATTTTATAATTTAAATATGGTGTCATAGGTCTCATCATACTCACAATCAACTGTGTTATACAGACACTGAGGGGACTGTAGAAATTGTCCATCTTAATTTAGAGAAAATTTAAGGGATTTTTTCCAGGGAACAAAGCAAGCTGTCTGTAATGATGAGCAAGGCTGTGCTCTAAGGAACATTGAAAGGAGCCCAGTTCTCTGAACCTGTAAAATCTAGGCAGCAGCATATGATTTGTATGAAAAGTCTGAGATTTTCTAGTCACCCAAAAGCAAAAGTTAGGTATCAGGGGCCACAGGGCTCTGCTAGAGCACAGCCTTCATCTGGTGTCTGTATGAAGCGGTTGTCCGTAAAGAGGGCTTTTGGGTTACCCGTTATTGTAGAGGTGGATCCCAGTAGTACAGTAAAACCCCCTGACTTAGAACGTGAATTTTAAGAACCTGGTAGGCTAAAATATGCAGATGAGCCCCCTCTATATAAAAACCCGTTTAGCCTAAAATTTGAAACAGGTTCTTATTTTTGAAATCTATGAAAAAATTCTGTACACATGAGCAGAGATAAATCAACATTTAGAATCTTCTTTGGAGACAAAGCTGTCTTATCACTCCAACTGCAATGTAAATGTCAATGTTTAAATTTAAATACATTCCTCTTTGTATGTCCATTCTCACATAACTTCTAATTTGGTATGCAGACTTTATATGAGGAAAAAGGTGAAACACATTTTTTTCATACATTTTTTTCCTTCAGAAAATATGAACCCATTTAAAACCCTAGATAGCCTAAACTTGT